TGTGGGAGTCCAACATCTTTTTTTTTCTTTAAGAATTATTTTATTTAACTTTATTATGATGATTACTATTATTTTCTAGTCTGATCAGACAAGGTGGGGGGGAGTGAGAAAGCAAGGCACAGGTTCAGGACTTGAACCGCAGTTGGCCATGTGGGAGTCAGTGCCTTTAGCCACCACATCACCTGCCGGCCCCAACACACTGAGATTTTTCTTACGGACTAGAGATAAAGAAGGACCCACAGCTAAAGCAGCCCTTTGATGTCGAATGCCATCATCCCTAGAAGCCAGGCGGTGTTTCAGCAGTCAGTCCATCAGTCATCGGTACACAGCTGTGACCACCAACAATGTCAGAGCCTTAGCCGGGCACTGCAGAGATTAATGGGAAGGACAGGGACAGGCTTGGAGTCTGGCTTAGTGTAGGCTGCTGTGGCAAACTGCCGGAGACTGGGTTGGGTAGAAACGCCAGAAGCATCGTTCTCGAGGCTCTGGAGGCTAGAAGTCCAAGATGTGTTTCCGGCAGATCTGTGTCTGGTGGAGCCTGGCTTCCCGATGCAGACGTAGGGCCTTCTCTCTTCTCTCTGAAGGGCACATGACGGAAGCGGCAAGGCAACTCTCTGGGGCCTCTTTGATAGTGGCACTAATGCTTTATGAGGGCCCACTCTGACTACCTCCTAAAGGCCTCATCTCCCCAAACCATCACGCTGGGCTCAGGTTTCAGCACCGGATCTGGGACAGACACAACCAGCCAGCCTTTTGCAGGGTCTAAAGCTGCTGATAGGATGCCATTCCTGGGAAAAGACAAAAGGTCAGGTAAAGTGGGGGCCAGCAGATGGTTGGACTCCCATATAGTCGACTGCATTTCGAATCCTGGACCTGGTGGCTTAAAACTCACTCTGGGCGCGTGTGCATGAGTGCCCAAAATCCCTAGAGGAGAATGGAGGAGAAAGGATTGCGGTGTGGCCACCCCCCTGGGGGTGATTTCTCGCTTTTTATGTCTCTGTCTCTCTCTGTCTCTCCATTGAGTGCACGTGCCCTGTAGCAAAAACGTCTTTTAAATAACAAAAAGCAGAAAGAACTCACGCTAGTTGCATGTGGGTGCATGCTCAAATCCCAAGAGGAGAATGGGAAAAAGGACCGTGGTGTGGCCATCTCCCCAGGGGGTGATTTCTCCCTTTCTGTCTGTCTCTCCCACAAGCACATGTGCCATATAGAAGGAAACAAACTCTCTTAAAAAAAAAAAAAAGAAAAGAAAAAACAAAAGAAAAGAAAAGAAAGAAAGCAAGCCAAGTGTAACTGAATTCCTACTGGCCAAGGAACACCTGGATGGACAGTGCCATAGGATGCAAATGGAATAACTCAGAATTTTACTCCGAATAGAAAGAGCTGTTGCATATTTTTAAATATGTGACAGTGGAGAGAATGGAAAACAGAAATGAGGTGGGTGAACAGTCCCTAAGGGCAGTGGGAACCACCAAAGGTGGCGCCCAGGTCTGGGAGGGTTGTGGTCTCTCAGAAGGTCTATGGTGTGACCTGGAAATCCATCCCATGACCCGGCCCTGGAGGCTGTTCTGGCCCTGCCTCCCCTCCTCCCGAGTACAACGGTTCTGTGGCCTGATCTCCGACAGAGACAGGATGGGTGGGGGGATAAGGGGAAGCCCAGGCACAAAGGGCGGAAGGAGAGTATTTGCAAAGACCGGAAGGGGAGTATGTGCAAGAAGACACGGGAAGAAATGCTGCCGTCCTCCAGCGCGAGCTGCGGGTGGGCGCTGTTCGGGAGCTGCGTGGGCAGGGAACAGCACACCCAGGGCTGCACCTGGGCATCCTGGCAGACCCCAGGCAGTACCTCTTTCCCCGCGCCCTGGGTACACACCGCCCCGGGAACGCCGCGCTGCTGCAGTGGAACACACTGTGCTGTGAGCCCTGCGGGAAGATTCCCTGCTGCGTCTCCACCTGCAGAGGCAAGGGGTGGGTTATCATGGCATCAAGGGGGCCGGCAGGTGGCCGTGGTGGTTAAGGGCGTGGACTCTCACATGGCCTACAGTGGTTCAAGTCCCAGACCAGGTGGCTTGCTTCTTTTCTCTTTCTCTCTCTCTCTCTCTCTCTCTCTCTTGTGAGATTAAAATAAATAAATAAATAAAATCATGGCATCAAGACCCTTGGGGCTGGCGGGTGGTGTGGTGGTTAAGGTGCTGGACTCCCACATGGCTGACTATGGTTGGAGTCCTGGACCTGACGGCTTGCTCTCTTACTTTCTCTCTCTGGTCAAATGAAATAATAATAACAATAAGTAAATAAATTTTTAAAAACAGAGACCCTATTGGATGTGCTTCTTCTCTGTCTCTTGTTCATGAAAGAAAGAAAAATTTAAAGCAGTTAAAAAAAATAGCTGTGCCGATGTTCCTATTGCTGCCGCTGCACTCATGGTCCTATCAGGCACGCGGTCTTGGAAGCAATCTCTGGGTTTTTGTTAATTTTGCAGAGGTCTCTCCATGCCCTTGCAGGAGAGACGGAGAGACAGCGTGAGAGAAACTGCGACCCTTATGGGGAATAGTCTCACTTCACTGCCTTACCCTCTATCCCTGCCCTCGGGATCTTGGCACACGCGCAGTCCAGACTCCAGCCATTCCTGTGGCCAGGTGGGATCCAGCCCCCTAACTGCCCAGCCCAGTCTTCCAATCCCCTTCTCTTCACCCACTTTGACCCTGGCGGTGCTGTGCTGGGATGTGGACTTCCTCCTGACTCCTCAGGCCCATTCTTTGTTTCTCGTGGCCTTTGCTGCTACCCTGGGACAATCTCTCACCTGGAACGTGGAGCAGCTTTTTGAAAAGTGTACGTGTCGGTATTCCCTTTCCCCGTGCATCCTACACGCAGCCCCGAGGGAGCAGAGGGGCCTCTCTGCACTGAGCCCGCCTCCCTTTCCAGCCTAGCTGTGTCCACGGCCCCTTTCCGCACAGCAGCCGCGCCTGCTGCCACCCCGAGAACCCCATCACCTCCCTTCCCTGCAGCTCGACACCTTTCCTCAGCCTCTCTTTCTACATCAACTCCATTTTCCAGAGCCCATATCAAACAACACCTTCTTCCTCTTCCTTTGTATTTTTTTCTTTCCTACAGGGTGTGTGCCCTCTCAGGAGACAGAGAAAGAAAGCAAATGAGACAGATCACCCCCCCTGGGGACGGCCATGCCACAATCCCTTCCCCTCTATTCTCCTCCTGGGATTTTGGGCATGCACACGCATGTTACTGCATTAAAAAAAAAAAAAAAAGGATTATGTTATTTAACTTTATTTATTTGACCAGAGAGGAACAGAGTGAGAGAGAGAGGGAAGTGATGGCAAGCCGCCAGGTCTGGGACTCATACTGCAGTCGACCATGTGGGCGTCCAGCGTCCTTAACCACCACCATGCCATCTGCCAGCCCCATGCCTACATGGTTTTGAAGCTCCCCTAACCAAGACTCGAACCATAGTCGCCCATGTGGGATCCAGCCCAGCCGCCTTAACCACCATGCCACCTGTTGGCTCAACCACCTTAATAATAAAATCCATTGCCTTGATTCAGACCTACTAAGTGATAAACACTGTACCAAGTGGTTTACGTACAGTATTTCTAATATTTATAAAATGAAGGACTTAAACTTTTCCTGAACCTTGTAATTAATTGCCTATAATTTCTTTCTTCTATAAATTTGCATAACCTTTGGATCATGAATCATTTTCTTTTTTAGTACAGTATTTGAGTAGTTCTCTCTTCATCCCCCTAAATGCATGCTGCTGGCCAACCACAACTGTGGCTGGAGTTTAAAAAATCATCGTGGCTCGAGTTCCAGGCCTGGCAGCTTGAAAATCATGCCAGGCACATGTGTGTGGCCAAAATCCTGAGAATGGAGGAGACGGGATTGCAATGTGGCCATCCCCCTCAGGGGTGATTTCTCACTTTCTCTTTCTCTCTCTCTCTGGCGAGTGCACGAACCCTATGACCAAAAAAATAGAAAATATTAAGTAAATAAATCATTAGTAAAATAAGAAAGTTCCTCTTAGTATGACCCTGTAGCCTAGTGGTTATGGGAGGAAACTCCCACATGGCTGATTGCAGTTCAAATCCTGGCCCCACCTGAGCACCATGCCTGGTGCATGTGCGCATGCCCCAAATCCTGACGGGGTGGAGACAGGGAGTGCAGTGTGACCACTGCCTTCTGGGGAGTGTTTCCCCCTCCCTCTCTCATGCACGCGCACTCTCTCTCTGGTGAGTGCATATGCCCCTGGCAATGAAAACAAACAAACAAACAAACAAACAGAAACAGAAACAAACAAAAACCAAACAATTGTCCACAGTTGGTTCATCTCTAAAGCTTTCTCCAGCTTCACCTGGCTCTGATTCTTTGCCTTCCAGAACATGAGCCGCTGGGCTGCATCTCCGAGTGTCCCCTTTTAGGAAGCCCCTGATAGTAGGAGACAGAAAGAGCCCAAGGCAGAGCTGTTGACCTGAGTGACTTCACTGTTCATGAAAGCCCAGTGAGCAAAGACAGACAGAGATTAGTAAGCTGTGATTCAGAGCGGGGGACCTGCAGGTGGAGTGGTGGCTAAGGCACTGGACTCCCACATGGCCAGCCGCAGCTCAAGTCCCAGACCCAGTAGCTTGAAAATCATGTCAGGTGCGTGTGTGTGCTTGCCAAAATCCCAGGAGAAAAATGGAGGAGAAGGGATTGCAGCGTGGCCATCCCTCCTGGGGAGTGATTGTCTACTTTCCCTCTCACTGTCTGTCTCTGGCAAGTGCACACACCCTGTGGCAGAAACCTTAAAGAGAGAGAGAGAGAAAGAGATGTTATGAATTCAGTTAACGGAGGTGTGAGACAGCAGGACATCGAGTGCTTCTGGTCTAAGCTGCTCTCGGCACCCACCCTGCTCTGGCCCACAGAAGCACCCAGTGATTGTTTGTTGTGGTGTCTGCTCCCCATACAGAACCCTCGTTTCCGCATCGCTCACTCGAGTTTTCCTCTTCCAGTGTCCTGCTGTGTTGGAACCTTGGGGACCCACACCGAGATCAAGAGAGTGGCAGAGGAAAAGGTCACCCTGCCCTGTCACCATCAACTGGGGCTCCCAGAGAAAGACACCCTGGATATTGAATGGCTGCTCACCGACAACGAAGGGAACCAGAAAGTGGTAGGTGTCGCTGCCCCTGGCTGGGGTCCCCGTCGTCGTCCTCATCCTCCCCTACTGGCCTGTCCCCAGTCATGTTTTTCTCGAGTCTGAAATGTGGAGAGCGGCCAACCTGAGAAAACATGTGTGACCTTCAGAGCACGCAGACACAGGAGCTTCATTAGCAATGGCCGTGAGAGCATTTTCATACGAAAACGCTATCTGCCTGTTGTCTGATACTGCAGGGCAGTATGAGGCTCAAGAAGGCTATACATGTTTATCAGATTTTGCCCCAGAAACGATCAGAGAAATTACATGGCCAGTCATTTTCACATCTTCAGATGATTTACATCCTAAAGCAACTGGCTTTGCATCCCATTTCCTCTTCCCCCATTTTCTGCCCTTTAAAACAATAAACCTGAGGCCCTGTTCCTGGTTGCAACTTCTCCATCAGAGAAGCTGTGCCCACTCGATCCTCGCTTTTCTATACTTGTGTGTCTTTGTGTGTTTGTTGTTGTGTTTATTTCTAACCCATAGCCTTACCCACTCAGAAAAACGTGTCTAGCCGAGCAGGTCCCAGCATGAAAGATCTAGAATTACTTATCCTTCTGGCTTACATCTGAAAAATTTCTAGATTCAAATCCGTAGAGAGGAAAGGTACTTGAGGGACCAGCAGATGGTGTGGTGGTTAGGGCACTGGACTCCCACATGGCTGACCATAGTTGGAGTCCTGGACCTGACAGCTTGCTTTCTTACTTTCCATCTTTCTCTCTCTCTCTGGTCAAATTAAAATAATAATACTAATAATGAAATAAAATAATTTTTTTGAGAGAGAGAGGTTTTTGCAATAGGGAGCATCCACTTGCCAAAGAGACAGTGACAGAAAGTGAGAAACCTTCTTCCGGGGTGGAGGATGGCCATGCTGGAATCCCTTCTTCTCCATTCTCTCTCAGGATTTCAGACACACATGCACATGGGCCTAGTGTGAGTTTAAGCTGCTGGGTCCGGGACTTGAACAGCGGTTGACTATCTAGGAGTCCAGCGATGTAACCATTATGCCATCTGCTGGTCCCAATAAAATAATTCTTAAAAAAAGAAAAGAAAAAAGAAAGAGAGAAAGAGAGAAAGAGAGAAAAAAAGAAAGAAAGAAAGAAAGAAAGAAAGAAAGGACCAGCAGATGGTGTAGTGGTTATGTCGCTGGACTCCCACATAGCCAATTGCAGTTCAAGTCTTGGACTCAGTGGCTTGAAACTCATACTGGGTATGTGTGCCTGTGTGCCCAAAATCCTGCGAGCAGAATGGAGGAGAAGGGATTGCACCCACGGTGCAATCCCTCACCCCTGGGGGTGGGGGTGGGGCATGATTTCTCACTTTCCTTCTCACCATCTCTCTTTCTTTTCCTGGTGAGCACATGCACCCTAAGGCAAAAACTTATTAAAAAAATAAATTAAAAAAAAAAACAAAGAAAAGATACCCAAGTTGTGAAGACGACACACTGCTCTTTGGCAAGCCGGTACTACTAGGAAGCCTCTGGCCACTGCCGGAGCGCAGAGTCTGCACTGTCAGTGTCTGCCTGAAAAGGAGCTCCCTGACGGGCCAGCCCTGAAGCCTGCCCTGGGAGGCGGGCTCCTTTCCTCCTTCCCACGTCACACGGCTGGGCTCCAGCTCTGCACAGAGGCGCGGCCCCGTGGCATACATGCACCATGACAGACCGCCTGTGGTACAGAGGCTTGAGTGCAGCACAGGGCTGAAATGTCCCCCACAGAGGCTGGCCAGCCAGAGAGTGGGCGCTGCTTCTGGAGTCAGAAGACGACAGTGCAGGCCCCGGGTTCGGCGCTCGGGAGGGGCAGGGCCCTGAGGAGCCCTGGTTCCATGTGGTTCTGGAGGCGTGAACAGAACGTCTGATCTGCCTTCTGGCGAGCCAATGGGCTGGCTGTGATCGGAGAACGACAGCTAGGTGACCTGCTTCTGTCCACCGCTCTGCATGCAGCCATGGCACTGTCCCGGTCCAGGGTTCCAGCACACACTGCCCTAGCCCACATACTGGTGCAGTCAGTACAGTAGGTGACTTACTTTTTGTTCATCCACTTTTTTGTTGTTGAAAGACATCCTGTTGGGCTAGCAGGTGGCATGGCGGTTAAGGCACTGGATCTCACAAGGCTGACTGTGGTTTGTGCCCTGGACCCGGCAGCTTGAAAATCATGCTGGGCGCGTATGTGTGCGTGCCTAAAGTCATAGGAGGAGAATGGCAGAAAAGGGATTGTGGTGTGGTCATCCCCCCAGGAGTGATTTCTCAATTTCTCTCTCACTGTGTATCTGTCTCTCTCCAGTGAGTGCACACACCCTATGGCAAAAACCTTAAAAAAAAAAAAAAAA